AAACTGCGACCGGTTAATATCGTCCGGATAGCAAGAAGTTTAAGTTTAAATTTCGTCCCAGTTTTTTCCCCGACCAGGGCCTAATGTCGTTCACATTGATGAGAAATGGTTTTACCTGACCAAAGTATGTCGCCGCTTTTACACGTGGCATGATGAAAGCGCTCCATCACGCTCCCTGCTCCCTGCAGTCCAAGGTCCACATCACCGTCGTAATGTACTTGGTCGCCGTAGCTCGTCCGCGCGGTGCCTGGGACTGAATGGTGGGATGCTGGCCGCTTGTCGACACGACCCTTACACAACACCGAAGTGTGAACCGACCCGCTGGAACCCCTATCCTTTCAACAATTACCGTCACGAACCCAGTGTACCGCAACTACCTTGTTGAGCGCGTCCTGCCCGCGATCAAGCGACAATGGGTGTGGGACAACGACGACACGGACGGAACGATATACATAGAGCAAGACAATGCCCGTCCGCACATCTCGGTGGATGATGCGGACTTCGTCCAAGCAGCCATCGCCGATGGATGGAAGATCAAGTTGACGTGCCAACCGCCACAATCGCCGGACTTGAATGTGCTTGACCTAGGGTTTTTCAACTCTATTCAGTCACTTCAGCAACAAATTGAGTGTCGGGCAATGGAAAACCTCGTCCAAGCAGTCGAAGAGCCGTTCGTGACACTACATCGTGCGACCCTGGAACGAACATTCCTCACATGGAGTCGTGTTATGATCGTGTTCCTGGAAATAGATGGCGACAACAAGTACAAGATCCCACGAAGCAAGTCGATTGTGGACGATATTGCTGCACGAGAGTCACTGAGTGCGCGGCTTGAAGAAGAGGGACGAATGAGTGATGTTGCCGAACTGGTCAACATCATGTCAGTGTAATTTCTTAAATACAGATTATTTGTTCTTACAGTGGTCGAACGCATCGACCGACCTTCCGGATAATTCATCAAATTTCAGAGATCACAACCTCTTCGGTGCTTTTGCAGTAAATATTATTCATT